CGCTGCGCCTCCAACAAAGTCAAGAACGCATCACATCGAACCCATCAGAAGTCTAGTTCAGGATGTCATTTCAATCTCTCCAACACACGAGTAGGACATTTATATGAGGGCCTTTGCATGCCTCCCGTCCAGTGGTCCAGGCACTGCTCACCTCTGTATCTCTCATGAAAACCGCCAGGTAAAGGGCTTGAACTTTTGGTTGCATTCTTGACAACTCTCATTGCTCGTGTTTCTCCTTGCTCGTTTGATCTCTTTCATGTCTCAAATCTCAAAAAAATTGTCTTTACCAGGCAGGCAAAGGTTTTCACATCGCAGAAGAAACTCCCCGCCTTCTCTCCGGGCTTGGCTCGGCCTGAGCTTGGCCGAAGATCCATTCAACATGATGAGATGAGAGGGCATTCCCACCTGCGTTGCTCCCGTCGCCGTAAGATTTATCGTGGGACAAAACCCTACATAGCGATCCGCTATGTAGGCTGCAAAAATCCTGGCGATCCGCTCGTCCTGGCAAAATATGAGATCCCACCGCTCCTGAGAGCGGAGATTTAGGAGACCAAGGTAGAACACCCAGTTTCGCAGAACAGTAGAGATTCCCAAGGTTCCCAAACATTTTCCCAAACAGTTACAATAGCAACATGAAACGTGTCCAGGGCTCAGCCATACCCTGGTACCCCAACACCAACATAAACCCTGGATGTGTTCTTTTCTTTGCTGATTGAACATGTTAGGCTTCCCCTGTGTAGTCTTCAAAATGCTGGAGCTGGGGTCATTTGAGTCACCACAGGGGTCATTTGAGTCACCACTTCACCTCATGACCTGCAAAGCTTGCCTGCTTGGGCAGCGATGTCTAGTGCCCGATCTTCTTCTCTTCACTTTCACTCGGTCGATCTACGGTACTTCTAATTTCGATGGGAACATGCTGGCAGGGAAGTGGAATCGACATGGGCAAGTGCCCCCCGAAAAACCGACATCAATGCCGACTATACTGACCACTATTGGGCACGAAAAGCACACACATGGAAGCAAAACACCTGAGTTGGATCCTCTCCACATATTGACATGGTCATGGTCTCATATCTCTCGAGATGTTCTGTCTGTTTTGCATGATGTCTCATCCGTTTCTTCCGCCGAGTGGCGTGGTCGGTGTGCTTCCGGTGTGGCTCACCACACCTCAAAAACGGCCAGGCTGCCAGGCCCTACTGATTCACGGGCGCATAATCTGGAACCCTCAAAGACGTGGGTCAATGAGTCAATCCTGCGTCAATCACCAATGCTAGCCTCATGTACATCCACCTTGGTGAAATCGATGCTCCACCTCTAGGCAGAACTGTCCAGCGCACGCAATTGCTGAAAAATGTTATAGTCACGGACAAACACTTACAGTAGAACATCTGTCGAAGGAACAAATTGAACAGGGACATGGACCGCGCAAACACAGTTCCTAGATATTCTTAGTGTAGCACTTAGTGTTCCAGGTGTTTGGCTGTGATTACATTGAGCTTCAAACAACTTACTTACTAAATGCCTTCTGGATAAGGTCTATCCAAAATTCAGAGTAGAATTACCGAACACACGGCACGAGGGGTCATCATAGGATACCTTGGATGGTACCAGTATATATCCTCCTTTACACGGAAAGAAACACCATGCATGTCTTCCAGGAATAAAAAAATCATGAACACCAAACCATTGACCGGCAACAAAACCTCATAGGACTTTTAGATAAGTCCCCTCGTGGACCTAACAGTTTCCCCATGTTTCCCCTACTGTAGGCTGTTCTACCAGTTTCTATGTCAGCATGTCAGGCTCGCAAACCTGGCTTGGGATCTCGTCCCGTCCTTTTCCACCACCTGGGCCCCACACGTGCCCGCACTTTGGGGCGAGGCCTGAACCAATGCTGCATATGAACCAGTGCTCCATTGTATGTATGACCATTAGACCAGCACCTTGCCGCAAAGGTGCAACCAGCGTAAGCATCAGCATGACAGTGAAAATCCAATGATATCAATGTATCGTCTGTCCTGTCTCCAGTATTCCGGATTTTTGACACACGTTGAACCAACACACACTTTAAAGGTTCTCTAGTTGTTCTTCATAATGTCCCATTCCCACGATTCTTTGGGTCACCCCTTTTGCTTACCAGGCTTACCAGTCATCCAATGCCGGGCAATTTTCACATTACTTTGACAGAGCCTAGTGTTGCTCTTGCGTCACCTGTTTCTCAAGCACACGTTTTCGTGAGCAATGACTACGCGGTTAATCTAGCTGCACGAGAATATCTTGGAAATTACTGTAGTTTGTGTTATTCCTCACATCATGATTCTAGCATATTCTAGTAAATTTAGGTTATGTTCTTCATTGAACGAGGAGGTCATGTTTTTACTATTCTTTACTTACACCCAGGAAGATTAACATGGAACCTGAAAATGGACCTTTGGAAGACTACTTTCCTCTACAACCCAGTGGTTTTCGGGTTCTAATTATGTTAATCTTCCCGGGTGTAGTTATGTTTAAAACACAACAGCCCCTGACGGAGTGTGGATGGTTTGAAGGTGTCTGCTACCCCACGGCCCATGGGTTCGACCGTTCACAGCTTGACCGTTCCTTGACCCCAACGCTCTCGTTACCGTTGCGCCCTGCCAACGAATTGGCCACTTCGGTGGGGGCCGTGGTTAGCCTGGGGGGGTCCCGAAAGAACAGCGATCTTGAAGCAACATCTGTTCTTGCAAAATAGGTGCCACTGATTGGGAGGGTGTCTTCCCTTAGTGTTCCTTAACATGATAGATTGGGTTTTCGGGATTCACCTCATGTTCGCGAACAGCGCAACCTGATCAACCTGTGTCACGACAATCGCTTCCTCTCGAACTAGCACCCAGGAGCGGCCTTTCAAAGCCACTAGCAAAAAACATATCCGGGGGGTATCATCCGGTATTGCCTTGAAAAATTGAACTTGTCCTTCATAACCAGATCAAAAAAACAGTGACACTGCTTTTGCCTTTTGGACTTGGGGGATCATTTTTTTTGATATACGTATCCATAAGTATCGTTGTGCATCGCGAACAAAGTGCAGTATATGCACCATTCACGCCGTTGGGAGATGCACATGAAGCATGTATACAATTCAAAACAAAAACACACCATAGCCACACATTGCCACACCCACACCGATATTGCCATTCGCTGTTACTCCTACTGGTTCATGCTACCTCGACGTATGATTAAACCGATCAACATGTTTGGTTCAGCCAAAACCATCATGTTTGATGGCTGATCCATGGTCTGCCCAGGCACGTGCTCTTCGGTGATGCTTCACTCGTCAGTTCTCCTCAGGAAGCGCCGTTCCCTCCAATTAGCCTACTCCACCGATTGGGTCTGGGAAAGAGGACAAAACGGTGGTTGGTACCAACCCCAATCGATTCAATGGATGACTCATATCCCCATATAACGTATCAGTATCGTCTACTCTGCACCTCCTGTGCACCGAAACAGGACTGTTAGCATGGTCAAGTCATCCCACAAGGTACTTTGTCTAGAGCTATCTTGCTTATGCTGATACCTTGCCAAGCAACCAACTCGCCAGCAAAAGGTGGACCAATACTCTCTGCTCGCACGGAACTGTGCAGTGCTTGTCTCCAAGGCGTTTGGGTGTCGTGGCATGAGAACATGGGCCTTGCAGCATCCTCCCATGTGACCAGTGCCTCAAAAATTGGATAGGGACACACAGACCCATTTATGGTAACTGCAACCTAAGCCTCACGGGTGACACTTGGCCTTTGTTGCGCCACCCACAAGATACCAAGAAACAAGGCAATTCCTCCTACTGTAACCAGTGAGGTCACTTGAGATACCAAGCAGTCCTCCATCGTCCTCCTAAGCAGTCTATGGCAATGAAGTACCTACGATCACTCAACCACCCGACGTCGGGTCCCTGCGGATTCTGGGCCGCCCATCTGGGGAGCTGTAATGGCATGGAGCCGCTCTTGGTCAAGGTCTGGAGCGGAAGGTCGGAAGGTGGCTTAGTCGATGTCGATTGAAACCAATCCCCCAAAAGGAGGCTTAGAAGGAGTCTTTATATGTGTATTATAAGTAAACTTGTACGAGTATTTTGTTAATATCACATATACGCCTGTTTTTGTTTGGAGCTGCTTGAAATCTCTCGGGAACAACTGCACAGGTGTCGCTCTTTGTGCGTCTGATTGAATATAAGATGATATGTATAAGAGCGACTCATCAACCAGCTCGAAAAGCAAAGCACTTGCTACAATGTCTTTTCCAGGTGATCCTTCATGAGGATCCCAGGTTGCAAAGGTGGGACAGTCACCAAATGCTGCAGGGTTTGGTCCATGGTCCATATCTGGATGGTCCAAGGAAGAGTTTCAGAGTCCCTAAACTTGGTATGTCTGCACACTTGAACGCTCAGTGAGACTCCTCTCGACAAAGCTTTTTGTCTCTAGTTCAGAGCGTTAGCCTCTCACCAAGTCCAAACCTGAACAAACCTCCAGTGTGTTCAGTGCTGTGTTCAGTGAACCAAATTGAGGACTTCAATCTGTCTATATACGACATCAGGAACATAATAAGGATGGTCTGATGGAATGCTAAACATTGCGGTCATGACCACAAATACACATCTTGCTGTAGTGACACGTGGTTCCCAGACAAACATCCTCCGGGTAAAGGTGCCCTCCCAAAGCGCCTGACGTGCTTTTGTTGCTATGGAAGGCATGCTGTTGTTCCGTCTCATCCTGAGCGATGACAAACATTGCCCCTTGGTCGTCCTGTGACTGGTGGGGGATCAAAGCACAAATAATATGGAAAGTCACCGTGGACCAGACCAACCTCTTACAGTGTATATAGTGTGTGACACAGAATAATGTACATAATACAAACGATTTGATTCACTGAAACACTAATTATATATATATATTGTGCAAACTGGAAGGCAATACATATGGCAATGTATATATATATAGTTATATGATGTTATATATATATGCTTATGTATACATATTAATATAGCAACGGACAATCACTTAGAACCATTGTTCCTAGCCGCTGAATCGCATTTAGAACAGCATCATAATACCAAGAACTTGCTTATTCTTAGCGCTGCGCTCGGAACATTCCTGAACCCGCACTGTGAACATTGTAAGCAGAAAAAACAAAGCTAGCAAACTCCTTACTTTTCTCACACAGAACTGCCCCGACACAGACTTAGAGCAGTGTAAGTAGGCGAAACTCCTTGTTTCAGAGATAATGATATATTGATGGGGCATATATAAACGTATACTGTATATAAGCCACGCATGACAAGGAGCAAACAAGCTGTTTCTGGGTGCGGACAAACAATCACTTCAGCATTCCTTTGGGGCCTATGTTTGTTCTAAGTGCGTTGTTCAAATTGTTGGTTTTGTGTTCCAAGTGTAGGATTTCCCATTGTTCAAAGCCTTAATTTAGAATCTAGAACCTCTCTGGTGGGGCCCTGCAGCAAAAACAACAAAATACATTCTAAGCAAAATATGCATACCCAGCTACACCGAATCACTATATAGATTGAATCCTATCAAATTTGGCGATTGTCGAACTGGGCCTCCCAGCTTTTCTTCTAAGGCGTGGCATTTGGACACGTCTGGTTTGAAGGAGCTCCTCTTCAGAGGTCACGACGCGACAGGACAGGAAACCTGTGGAAGCTCCTCAGTGGAGGGGATATGAGGGGATGATGTGGTAATGGCTTTGAAATCGCATGATTGGTTCAAACTACTTACACTTGGTGTCCTTGAGAGGAGCAGGCTTTGGGTTCAATTCTGGGTAAGAAAAGAAAACTGGCTACATTCCTCTCCGTTTGAATAACTAATTGGCCTCACTTGATGTGCACTCCAACTCACTGATAAATTGGAGCATGGTCAAAGACAAACGAGTTCCACAATTTCCCTGTGTACACCATATGCACACATCCACAAGGCTCAGTGGCGCGGAGGTTCCACCGGGCGAGATGGTCTTCCCACATCCCGCAGCGAAAAGGTCATCAACACAGGACCGGCCGCCCTCTCAAAACACGGTAGGGAAAGCAATCCAATTGGGTTTCAGGAAGGGTCCCGAATTGATTCAGAACCGAACTTTTCGGAACTGAAAGTCAGCGAATGTCAAGAACCAAATTTTTTCATCAACCGAATCATTACAACCGTCAATTTTCCAAACACAACCCAACCGAAAAGAAAAACGAAACAGACTGTCCAAAGTCTTGAGTTTCAGAGCAGCAGTCCCCCGCTGGAATCATGTCACTGGCCCAGCCCGGCTTCAGGCGCATTCATAAAATGCGTTCCTTTCCTTTTCCCTTTTCCTTGCTTTCCTTTCCAATATGCTTCTTAGACGGCATGGAAAAGGCATATTCACAAATTGCATTCCTACCTGTCTATCTCCATTTCCTTTTCCTTTCCTTTGCTTTCCCTGACATGGTCCTTTCCTTTCCTTGTCCATTTCCATGTCCTTTTCCTTTCCTTTCCAATATGCTTTTTAGACTGCCAGGAAAACGCATATTCACAAATTGCATACCTTACCTGTCCTTTTCCTTTTTCCTTTCTTTGTCCATCGCTTTGCTTTCCTTTCCTTCCTTTTCTTGGCGTTCCTTTCCAATATGCTTTTTGGAAGGCCTGGAAAAAGCATTTTCACAAATTGCATTCCTTCCCCTGCGTTTCCTTTTCTATTCCCTTTCTTTGCTTTCCCTTCCTTTTCTTCCTGTCCTTTCCTTTAAAATAGTGACTTTCCTTTCCTTTACTTTTGCTTTCCATTTTCCTTTTTCTCCTGTCCTGTCCTGTCTTGTCTATAGTCTATAGTCTAGTCTTGTCTTGTCTCTTTATCATTGCCTTTCTTTTCTTTACCCCACTGCGAAACATATACCTCACAGAACCGAAACGAACAGTGAACCGAACCGAAAGTCCATGAACAAATACTTCTACAACCAAACCGAACCGATTCAAAGTTTCAATTAAACATTCAAACCGATTCCAACCGAACCAAAACCTTACTGGGGTTTGCATCAAACTCACCACCAACTTGGCACTCCAAAAATGGATCCCAATACACAAAGCCTTGTTATGTATCGATCGCATCCAAAAGAGTTCAAACACCTGCCAGTCCACAAGTATGAGCAGAAGGGAAGAGGGTGCCAAACATTTGTCTCCAAGTGGCTCATTGCTGCCTAGGTCTTCTACTTTGGCCTGTCTTGATCAGCTGTTCCAAAGAATTCAAATTGAGCAACTCCTATCCCTTAGCTTCAGTGGAGAGATGCTTTCGGAAGACGCCGTGAAGTGCTGTCCCGCCAGACTCGCAGTGCTCGGACATCTGATGGACGTAAGCCTGTGCTCAAAAGCAACAGACTCAAAATGATCCCAAAAGGAAAACTCTTACTACCAGTTGAAACAGTCCCTCATGATGTAAACAATGATATTCTTGGACCAACAGAACCTAATAGCGATGGCCTCCAACCTAGAAGCGATGGCCTTCAACCTAATAATAGCAATGGCCTCCAACCTAATAGCAATGGCCTCTAGCCTTTAACTGTCTTCACTTCAGAGCGAACTCTCAAGGCTCTCGGCCTCCAGTTGATCCAGTTCCTCCTGGTGATGGGCATCCTGCGGTCGCAAGGCAAGGAGGACAAAGGTCGACGGTGGATGCCCCGCCGTTTGCATAGTAGACGTTGCCCTCACACCGCACACCTATGAACAATGGTTTTGACGTGTATTTCCCCAAAATAACTGATCTGTAATGAAAAGGCTGTCAGGTGTCAAAGGTGGTGACAGTCCTTAATGGCAACTATCGGTGTTGTGCGTGTGAAAACAACTCTCAACCATGCAGATTAGAACCAACTAGCAATTTATATGCAACTGCAAGTGGCATGTGAACGGCCTCAATGCTTCGATGGAAATTCAAGTCGATCCTCATGGATCCCACCAATCACCAGCGTCGATGGGATCCAACGCCGCATCGCATTTAGCGCCGTGCTTGCACCGATGTCCTCCTCCTCTAAGAGACTGATTGCGGCAGCCTGCATGTGCTGGCAAGAGAATCCAGCTGGGTGCATCGCTACTAGTAGCTTATTGTTACTAGTAGTAATGCCCTTGTTACTAGTAGCGATGTACTTGTTACTAGTAGCTTCTTGTTACTGTGGGAAGTCTTGCAGCATTGGAGCCGATACAGAACAATGCACACAATCAAACTAATGACGAGAACATGGTCAACAAAGCCTGCAGTCTGGCTCGATGAATTGGTCAGACTTGTCGTTTAGTTCATGACTACTCTCAAGGTTACCTCATTTCATGTCTCTGCAAGATGGTATAATACACAAAATAGATCAACATAGATTATTTATAGTATTTTTCTAATGATATCCAAGCTGGAAGAACTCATTTTACCCATAACGTGTGAAAGCATGTCGTAAAAGTTGCTCCAAACAGTTGCTCCAAACTAAGCGAGCGAGGCTTCAGGCCAAACAGCTCTCAGCCCCAAAGTCCAACCTTGCCTTGTTTGGGGGTCACTTCTCCTCGGCTTCAAATGCCTTAAATAGAAGTGAGAGAACTTCAACGTATGCTTGACAGCAAGCTAAAACACCAAACGCCTGTAGTTGGCAATGGGGAGAAACACGTTGAAGATTGCTCGACCTAAAACGCCTGCATGTTTAGACCGCAATGAACCTGAGACGTTCTATCAGGATCTGCGTGTTGCTATGTTGATCTATGTTGGGTCGCTGGCGAATAGTTTGCCCTTTCCACATCTGTGTGTTTTGGTTTCTTAGAGGTGAATATATACCCTGCCATCTTGCACCGCTTTCGCCATGGTTGCAAGATGCACCCTGCCTCCTCTTTCGCTAGTACCCGGCGCGCTGCCATGATGTCTGCCGCTTGGTCCAGCCACTCCTGCTCCTGCAGAAATTGCAAAAAAAACACCAAATTTATCCAGTCATCTATATAAGGCGGACTCGAGGTAAGGCCTCAAACATCTTCACTCAATGACTCTCAATGTACATCTTCAATCAACTAAGACAATCGTTGGTGATGGATGGAAAATGCGAGGCACTGAAGTCAATCACAGTCGGAGCTAATAAGCCAATCACCAAAAAAACACCGGTTCGAATCCAGTTCCTTTCCAAGTAAAGACACAATGTCGATGCAAGATTGATGACCAAATGCCACAGCCTCAATGTACATGTCCACATTATTTGCATAACTTGGAAGGCAGGTGTGAGCAGTCTGCATGGCCATTGTCTACAAGGGATCATTGAATCTTCCCATAAAGACTGACAAGGATCTCCTTCGTTGATCATAATCCTTCGTGCGTGTCTTCAATCAACAGTCTTCATTCCACCAGAGCAGCCTATACAGGTATGGTATGGGTCAAAAAGTAAGGCTCAGGATCCACAAATTATAGTCAAAGTATTGTTCCTCTACTCTAGACTGTAGGGGATTGAGGGGCTAATGTTGCAAACCAGATTGTCAAGTGGCAGGAAGTAATCAACAGATTTCGCGAAAATATTCTAGACCAGGGCTTTTGGGGATGGAAACAAGAAATGTTGTATATTTATCCCAAAAGATTTTAATGTAATGTATATATAGTTATATATACCTAGAGGAACCGTTGGCAGAAATTTTTGCCGAGGCACCATTGTGCCCTGATTTCAGCCAAATTCATCGAAAAGCGCCGAATCCAAAAAATAACGCCGAGCAATATGAAAACTGCCGACTTTAATGGTTTTCATTTGCTAGATTCTCAAACCAGCACTTGCCAGATCTTGCCAGTCTTACCAAGCCCTTCCCCGCCCCTTTCCCAAACCAAACCACAGGGTGACCATCCACAGTTTGGGTTTACATATGAGGACCGAGGGATTGGCATCCACAGTTTGGATACCTTGGAATCCTTGCACCTGGGGACAGAGATAGTTAATCCACAGTTTGGGAGTGCTTACAGAGAGCACACTTGAAAGATCCAACAATGTTTGCCTAAGTGCATGCCTTGTCTTCCGGACCTTCTTGATATTTCCCCTAGGGCTTTCTTGAAAGGCCAATCCAGGCAAGCAAAGTTCTGTCTTTGCTTCTCCGGATCACTCTCCAAAGAATGCTTTGCCGCTTCGCCCTTTCATGATCCAACCTCCCTTGACAAGGGTGGCTGTAGAACAGCTGCAACTATTGGGCCAACAACAATGTTCTTTCCAGTGCAGCCATCCAAGATGGTGATTCTTATATAGGAAACCCCGACTAAGCAACAACATGGTTACGGACAATTGCGCGAATTGTCGGGCAATTACGCCGAATTATCGGAGATTTACGCCGAATTATCGGGCAATTACGCCGAGATCTAGGGATGACAAAACTTTGGAAAACTGTGAACGACTTGACTGCCACGATTTCACGCAAGGGTGCCCGGTTGGTTCACGGTGAGTTTATGTTGAATTATGCATGGTCCATGCACAGTCCACTAACTTTCACCTTGGTGATGGAATCAAATCTTGCCATTCACCGAATATGTTCAACAACAGCTTTGTGCCACTGCAATAATTAATAGGAAATCAGGGAAGAGGGTTGCCTCGGGCCACAGAAACCATTTGGCATTTCTGCCAGTATAAGTTTAATAAACGTTTCCTTGATCGGATCCATGGCTGGATTTGAGTGTTTACAATGAATCCCTAAGCCAACAATGCTTGGCAAGAGGTAGGAACTACTGAAGAAAAACACTGGGCGTGAACAGCCAGGACGCACCTCAAGAATGCCCGGTTCACCAGGTATTTGATCCCTAGAGCATTGTCGAGCCGAGTTATCATGAATCACCACAACCCGGATTGGTTCTGCATCTAATCAACCAATCAATATGTTCAAGAACCTCAAAAAACAAAAACGCCGAGTCTATCTTGGTTTTAGCAAATTACGCCGAATGCCCTTTTTCAGGGCAAATTACGGGTAAAGGCGCTTTTTGCTGAGGTGGCAGAAATTTTGGTGCATTTGGAGTCTCTAGGTATATGAATGTTCTTTTTAATGACTTGATTTTGGCATATTTTTGCTATGTAATTTTTGTGTGGTTCAGCTGTTGGTTCCCTAGATCATTGCTGTTTAGCTTCTGATTTTGTTTTGTTTGAATCCTAGAACTGTGACCTGAACACCCTTATCAAACATCCTTACAAAAGAAATGAACACATGGCCCCAAACAAACGTTCAAACCCACCCTGCAAATCCCTAGAATTGAATTACATTATTTATTTTCGGATGGAATAATGCCAATACTTGAAGCCCCTGGGAGATACATCTGAGCTCAGCTTTCTACAGTTCAGCTGTAGGTTTCCTTTAAGATCCTTGCTTTGTTATTGCTTTTGCTGCTTTTGTTTTGGCTTTTGCTGCTGCTGCCGCCGCCGCTGCTGCTGCTGTTGCTGCTGCTCCTGCTCCTCCTCCTCCTCCGCCCGCTACTTCTACTACTACCACTACCACTACGATTACGAAGTAGTGACAGTAACATACAGTAACTATATAATATCAAGGTTGTTTTGACTGAGCTATCTCTATAGGCTCTCCCTCAGTTGATTGTTTGGGGAACCCTGCTACATCTTGCAACACATTACACCGTACACCCTTTACTGAGTAGGATGCTCCACACCATATGTGACCTGGCACCTTCTGCGCTCGTCCCTGGTGACGGGCTTCCCTTCACCAAGCCCAGGATGGATCCCCATGGACTTGCTCAATCGACTTGCGGCCACGCATGACTTGTGGGGGTTGAAATTGTTCTCCGGTAGAAGAGTGGAAAGTGCCTGAGGTTTAGATGAAAATATTCCTCTGCTGGAGGTGGTCTACAAGTCCAAGCTTTTGGCCGCTTGGTCTCTCCTGGGAGAAGAGCGCCAAAAGCTCGGTAGAGCGGCGCATCCTCTCCTGCTTGTTTTCAGGGAGGAAGTGGATGGAATGATGGAAGTGGTGTCCAACATTCTAGGAGCAAGGACGCTACGAACGTAGCTCCTGGCCTTACTACTAGTAACACGAAGCTACTAGGAACAAAGGGCATCGCTACTAGGAGCAAGGACGCTATCAGCAGCTGCTTCCCCCGAATCCAACCACGTTGTTCCCACCACGTCGGAAAGCAACATGAAACATCGTTGTCAACCCAAACGTCGTTGCCTACCGAACGAACCTGAAAAGGGGACTATCTCGAGAGTGTGTATTTAGAAACTAGATGAAATTAGGATTCCAGTGGATAGTGACGTCCACCGAGAAGCCCTTGGCAAACCAAACATGACTGTTCTGCTGGATGCCGAACGCAGCACAAACGTATGCCCCGTGCACACACACAACAATTGAAATGACAAGCGGCAAGCAAGCCACAAGATCAAGCACGAGCTACAATGGCAAGACCACCAAGAGACACAATCACAGCGGAAACCTGCAAAAGCAACATCAAGCACAAACCGCAGCAGCAACAGCAATGAGCAGTCAGAAAAACACCAGCAATGACCACGTAAGGACAACATCAAACCTGGTGGGGTGGGGATTGCTGGAAGTAGTCAGAGTAAAAAATGTGTTGGTTTCTTTTTGTGTACCTAGCACCTAGCTAAATCGTGTTAAATCAGGATGTCAAACACATACATGTAGAATCCTTGCTCGCAGAAAGTCGCATGAAAATGGTTCTTCTGACCCCATCCAGCTAAGAGTTGAAGCTGCATCAACCCAAGCTTCGAGGAACGACTCGGAAGGACACGCCCCAACAACACGCAGTAACAAGGACGCTACGCACAGAACAAAGGGCATCGAAAACGAACGGAGCGATCGGACGCTACGAACGTAGCTCCTGGCCTTACTACTAGTACGGAACAGTCAGGGCTACATGGAAGTGAGCTTTTCTCCACCCGATTTGGCATTCCAGTGTCCTCTGAGTCTCTCCAGTGCCGAGCCTCAACGAAATCTTCCAGGTCAGAGACTTCTGAGGGCTCCTAAAACGGCGACGGCGACGGTTCGGTGGGTCTGAGTGGAACAAGAGGTGGTGCCTCTTGGTGCTGCAAGATTTGCAAGTCGTGTCTTCAGCGTTTGCTTCCCTTTGTAAATCTTTAAACCAATTTAGTGTTCAATGGGTTCATCATTCACCAGAGTTATAAGTCCGAGAGACTGTCCGAGGGTTAAAGTTTTGGTGAAATGAAATGAACTCATTGGTCAGGTCCCAATCTTTGCCTCTATCTTCACAGGCTTCAAACGATACAAGGCAATCTTTGAGCCAGCGAACTAGAAGCAAGGTCCACCTGCTGGAAGGGAGTGGGACAGTCAGTGCCACGATTGGTGGTTTATCCACTGCTTCGGTACTGTAACTCCAATGCTAGAGCTAGAAAATGCACATGGTGATCATGGTGCAGCCCAACTACCACGCAACCTGAACCCACTGCTACCCTAGTAGGCGTAGGTGAAAAGAAAGGACTCACCAGGGATGATTCAATGATGTTTAATTACATGCAGCACCTGGTTTCAGATCTGATCCAGCATACAAGGTTCCATTCATGTTCCATTCGCGTCCTTGTTACTAGTAGCGATGCCCTTGTTCCTAGTAGCTTCTTGCTACTATCATAGTAGTAATGCCAGGGGCTACTAGTAGCGCCCCAACTCCCTGCCCACACCAACTGGTCCAACTCCTTGATATTCTCAGCACCTGGCGTATGCGAACCGCTGGTGGAAGGAAACTCCCGATCTGCTGAAGTTGAATGGCGGAAGCCTTTTTTGACATATATGTATAATATATTGGGATGGAGTTGTGTTGATTGAATTCCAGTTATCTTGAATCTTGATGTATTTATACAGCCGTAGTAAAAATAGAAAAATATCTTCGCAAGGAATTGTATCCTCATCAAGAACATTTGGAAAGGTTCCTCCCACTATCCGTGCTTGGTGAATCGCCCAGCTAAAGCTGCCCCAGCACACGGGTTTCCCAGCACTTCAGCCCTTTTTAAATCTTGGCCATGTCGGCTGGGCCGACGAATTGCAGCCGGGCGGCCAGCGGTGAAGCTCAGAAGAACCGCAAGAGTTTGGTGCAAGCTTGTGAAAGCGGCCCGGCAAGCTGATCCACACCACCCGAAGTGGCCGTGGTGATGCCCAGTGTCATGCCCCCCGGGGGGTAAGCAAAAAGTCTATAATACTTGTTTTTCGTGTCTTTTGATAGCAGCTAATGAACGACTATTGAACTGGCTTTTGGCCAGCTTCCTATCAACAAAAGCACTTACACCCAGACTTCTTTGCAAAGGAACGGAATCCTCCTTAAATCTGCGGTGGAGGCTTCTGAGCCACCTGTGATCTCCTATCCGCCCAAATGGGAGGAACATGAAGGAACATGCGGGTGGCACTCTTCAGCCACTGCAAGCTGCACACACCGCAACACATGGATATATAAATAAGGGAAGCGTTCAAAAGCGCCAAAACCATACTAGATTGACCATTCCAGTAGTCCCTTCTGTTCTAGTTCAGGGGTCAATAAGGAACCCCCAGTTTTGACCCACAAGTTCTCCATCATGACTTGATTGACTCATCGATTCTCATCGAATCGTCGATTCTCCACCGCTGCCGTTTAAAATAGGATGCCCGCAAGATCGCCGGAAGGACTTCGACCGATCTTGCGGTCCAAATCGAAGATCACTCTGTCAACTGCCACCATGATGTAAGGGGCTGCTTCCAGGGGAACAGCTGGTCTTCCTTTTATATGTATTATGATTATGTTATGTTCTTCTACATTTTGCACATCTCCAGGAAGGTCACTATCCCTCAAAAAGAAGAGACCAGTATTTGTCAAAGGAGGGTTTCCGGGTTTTCGTGTCTTCACAAGTTCTCCATCAGCTTCACGGGGCCGGTGCACGTTCCTTATCGTCAAGTGAGCGGTGTCAAAAACCATCCGGAACTTTTATTAAGATTATAAAAACCTTTCGCCAATCCCTTCGCAACGCTTTCGCGGCTGCGTGTTTTGATTTCGCCGACCCACTTCACCCAACAACCTCTTTCGCTAACCCTTTCGCCGAGTTTCTGCTACTTACATCTAATTGAAAAATATCAGCAAAGGGGAATCATTCCTAATCTGCAACCGCCACATCTTCGCGAACCTTTCGCCAACCTTTCGCCTGGTTATCAGGAATCTTTGGATGAATGACATGCTTTGTACTGAAAACCTCTCTCGCCAACCCTTTCGCAACAAAATCCTTTCATCAAACATTCAGAGCCTTTCTCCAAACCGTTCGCCAAGTTTTCCCCAACTGCAGTTTTCCTTTCGCAAAGATTCATAATCTTAAGTCCTACCTAAATTCTTTCATAGAGGTTTATGACGTTGCTTCAGTGACCATAACATCGGGTGACTCCTACTATCTCCGCTCCTACTATCGTAGCCCAAAGATCTTCTCAACCTGAAAGGTGGCAACCGAGTCTCCACATGCATACATGAAGATTGATCCAAAGATTCAGCATCATTCACGCCAACCACTTGCTGAAGAAGTTAGCTCTTGTGGCAAGGTAAATGCTCCCAGCAGTCACGCACTCTGGTTGATTGGACATTGGGTGCAATGTATAGCACTAATATTATGATGATCAAGACCCATCAAAGACTGGAAATCATTAAAAAGATAAAAAAAAAAATAAAAAATAAAATAAAAAACAAAATAAATACAAAAACACAAAACCCGGTCAAAGACCGTCCTTCCCTCCATTTCGAGCTGTGTTGTTTTTGTTTCTTTTTTGTTTCTTGTTTGTGTCTTTTTTGTTTATTGTTTGTTTATTGTTTGTTTATTTTTTGTGTCTTTTTTGTTTCTTTTTTGTTTTTTCCTAGGGTTTTTACAGAAAACCTGATTTCAAGGCCAGCTTTTGCTAGAACAGAAAAAAACAGAACAAATAGACGTGTTCTGGGTGCTTGTGTCAATATTGTTTTATGTTTGTTTGTTTTTTGTTTTTTGTTTGTTGTCTGTTGTGTTTACACATTTTGTGATTGTTTTTTGGTGCTGTTTGTTTTTTGTTTATTTTTGTGTTTTTATTATCTTTTTCAGGATCATCAGTTATTGATTATTTATTTTTCATAACACTAATATATATATATATATATTTGGGGTGCTCCTCTACTGAAGGAGCCCTTTTTTACGGATCTGCTTTGGGACGTTGGATCCGTTGGATCAATCGCTCTTAGGGATCGATGTTCATCACTCGCAGACGGCACCACGAGTTGGTCGACACGGCACATGGATCGACCGTGTTCGCCCAACAGGTTTTGTCGTCGGATCGACCTGATCGAAAGGTTTCTTTCGGGATCGTCCATCGTTCTTTCCCTTGAAACAACCGCTGTCTCGGTCGAAAGTAGCTCCAAAGAACGACAAGAGATGGTAGATGTTCGAGTAGATGTGAGTGCAATGTGATTGAAAGGGAACAAAAACCTAAAACAGGCTGACCATTTACCTTCAGCTGGCCACAACCCCTGGCCACAACCCTGGCACAATGTGTTCATTCATGTTCTTTCTCCTGCCAAAAGGAGCGAACCCGCGATCCATTCGGAAAAAGAAAACTGTTCACTGGATCTTCATTGCCATCATCTTCACCTCAAAGGTGGAGGCGACTTCTCTGTGTGAAACCGTCCACAGAGCAAATACACCAGGTACATCCTGGTACAATGGTGTTCATATTTACTTTCTATCTTGCAACGTACACGCATGCTGCATAGCCATTATCTGAACGAGATGTCATGCGCCCCTCCTGTCAAGTGTCCAATGAGGATTGTGTGGAAAAAAACAAGACCTGAAGAGAACTCCAAGCAACTGAATTGAATGTACTCAACACCTACGGGTTGGCGGTGGTGGGGGTCCCTTCATTTTGGAGAAACCCACTGATGTATGATGTATTCGGGTCTACACAATGGTCGCAGGTGTACACATGTGTTTATCCCGGTCAAATTTGTGCACAGTAAGTACTTGACACAAGGTCAGCTAAAAAGTTCTGGTCCAGAACCATCAACATGTACGTCTTTACAACAAGACAGTGGGACTTATGGTACTTGAGAAGCCTTCTTGACTGGGACAAACTTCTACGGGACCACTCCGAGCATGTCAACCACTCCACGTTGGACATCGGGACCGCCGAATCGCCCCGTCGAATCGACCCGTCTGGCGGCTTTGGAGCGGATGAGTGGCTGATGGTGGTATTCAATCAAGCCCACGTCCATGTCAAGAGCCGATTGGGGAGAGTACTACACAGATATAATATGTTATAATGGGAGTTCAAAGGGGAAGCCTCCGAATGGCACACATTTTTACTAGCTCTTTCTGAGCACCTGGATTCCACGCGTGTGGTTGGGTGACTCTCTCAGCTTCATAACACTCGATCAGAGGAGTAGCGGCCTGAATATTGATACTGAAATGGACAACTTAATATATACAGAGGGAGCATATTGGAGCATGACATAACATGACTTTTCAAGCTGGTGATTGAGACATGATTGCCACACATATAAAAACACATGGACTCGAAGTGACAGCTCGACACATGTAGCATACGTACCTTGGATACCTGATACATCCTGATACCTAATATATCCTAATATGTTCTTTTGACACTGGCTGCTAAACACGCAGTGCTTCCATTAAACCTCGAGAGCTGCTGGCCCTGAGAAACCTGAGAGCCAGGCCCAGTCACTACCAGGGAGGTTTTGGGGTCCACCAATCCACCTGCACAGTGGCACAGGCCAGACATGAAGTGTGGCTGGCTCCGCAAGCCTTCCTTCACTTACTTGCCTGGTGAAAAAGCAATATTCGCTTGCTTGAAGAGACACAATTCTTTGCATAGGCCTTGTTGAGCTATACCAATACCATACTTTATATGTAACTGAATTGTCTATATGTATGTCAGCACAGGTTCAGTAGAGGCTGTGTGCGTAGGTTCAATGGAAGTTGTCTCAGTGGACAACAAATGACCAGGGAACACCGATTATCTCCCATTGTTTCAGACAAACATAATAAGAGAGCCACATCTGACACATCTGTCAATGCATTGCTCGTCGGCTGCTCAATATGAACAACAAACAGCGATTTGACAAACAAGGACGATCCATCAGCGGCAGTATCGGACATAGATGGTAACACATGTCCGCTCTATGATGACAATCTCAGTATACGTCCTTAAAAGATTCAAACATGTTCGGGTGATGGGTGAACATCAGTAGCCCACGAACACCTGGTCCCCAAAGGACCAATGATACATCCGCCCATGCAGAGTCAGCCCTGCACGGGTCAGTCGGAAACACGGAGTCGAAGGCGTAGTGACGACTCCGTCGTCTTCAAAGGGGCGAGTCTTTCAGGTCGTGGTTGATGTCGCTGAAAAAACTCTCAAAGCAATGTCTCTTCCTTCAGTCGTGGCTTCTCTCAGTTACCTTATGTTAACTGTTATCTTGTCTTCCACAATCCTCATCCCCGGCGAATAAGTGCACCCAAAACCCGTTCGACCCCTGTAGACCTTGAAAGCACTGACACCTCCTATTATCAGCTACCCACGTCCTTCTCGCTAATTGGGCGCCGCACGGATGACGGTGTTGCCCATGCCGCCGCCGCGCTTAGCGATGTCGAAGGCCGTGAGTCCGTCTCCTGGAGGACCAGGGGCGATTTGTTTGCACCAAAAAATGACGTGAAGGAGGCACCCACA